TCCCCTCCCGTACCTCCCTTTATCCTCTTTTCCACCACTCTCCATCTAAGCGTCGCAAATTTTCCCGGACCCGGAGCTACCCCCCGTTCTTCTCTCACAGACACCAAGGGGCAGCCAGCCGATATCGGACGAGATCGTTAAGCACTCGCTGCTCCTTATCTCTCCTACCGAAATTCTCCTTGGCTCCATGTCGTTCCTCTTGAATTCTCTCGTCTGTCTACTCTCGTTGTCTCATCCTGAACTTCGGGGTTCTTTTTCCCACACGGACTCTCTTCCATCGTCCGAGCTCCGTTTCGCACCCCTCTCCGATTGCCTCGGCCGACGTCCCTGTCAAGTCCCTCCGACACGGTGTCGCGATACGTCCCGATCAGAGTCGAGATGTCTCCTTTCAAACTCTCGGATATTTGCAATGAGCTTCAATAATCACAGCCTAGGTGCTACGAGTACCGATCGAAATATTCGCGTATTTCCGCCCGTACCTGTGAATAATTATTGGGAGTCGGGAATCTTCCTCTATTGACCGTCGACGATATTCTCGACACCATGCCGAGCGCCCTCAACCGGAATTTTCCAGGTTTCTAGCTCCCCGCGATTCATCTTAATCGTTAAACTTTTGAAAATCATTTGCCGCGCCATTATGTGCAAAACAGAGCACAGCCGCCGCGATAATTAAATCAGGGAAACGAGACCAAACAAGCGTACAAGCATTCTGTTTTGCGAAAACTTTCGCTCGGACGCCTTCAGTGTTCTTCAGCCCGAGCATGATTCCGCGTGTCCCGAGTTTGAGTGAATGAGTGTGTCTGACTGACTTAATCTGCGTAATCTCCGCATACATACATAGATGGATGGATGGATGCGCGTTCCAACTTCGCCAGATGAATCGGATGAATCGTTTTGTTCGTGAGTGGCCGTAGATGTTCAAGTGACTGTGGGCTTTGTGCGGGCTGCGATGGGATTAGCTCGGAGCGCTTGACATTCAGCCCTTTGTCTTTTTGCTCTTTTGTCTTCTCCGTCGTCGTAGTCGCAGACGACGGCGGCGCGGCGTACCGTCACCGAACGTGAGTCGGAGCCGAAGAGAAGTTGCGCAAATAAATGCATATGGCCAAACTTATTGCACGTTATTAATAAAGCGCCCAACTCTCCGCGTAGATCCCTCGCCTCACGTCAAGAGACACGAGGGAGCGAGCAGAGAGTGGCGGGTGCCGGAGGAGCGCCAGCAGATCAGTTGCGGAATGGATGATATCGCAAAATATGACGAAACTGAGAACTCTTTCGAAATTCGCCTGATCGTTTCCCATCAACTGGGGCTGGAACGATCGCCTGCCGAGCTCCTCAACTCGGATTGCGAAGAAGGGGAAGTTTCAGAAAAGGAAAACCTTGGGCCTAGTTTTAAGACGGAAATCGCTACCGCACATACTTGGAGCTCCAACCTGGGTCCAAAACTAGAACAGAACCTGTGAGCGAATTCAGCACAAATCTTCGCTCTATGCACACTGATTTCGCAAGGGGTTCGCGGCCGCTCGGGAATTTCTTTCCCCATCTCTCCATCGCCATGATCGTCGCAATAAGGCTGAGAGAGATCAAAAGTCAAAAGACATAAGGTCCAATGTCTGGAAGCCGTCGACCATCTCCGAAAAGATGACCCCGCGTACGTCCCAAGCAGAGTGGAACGCACCGAAGATTCGCTCGCCGGTTTGCAAGCTCCCGGATTTCAACCACCATCAGCTGTTTCTGTGTGATCGTGGCATTGCGTTCGTCCGAGCTGACTCTCCATTTCCTCTCTCCACTGTTCCTATATCAGTCGAGCTAGATTCCCATGGATAATCCGGAAAATAGCAGAGCCTAGGCTAATAGGCTCCATCATGAAGTGGGTTTGTCTAGCGTTCCGCATCTCACCGGGAACTCACTTCATATTCGGCACGTCCGAGAACAATTACCATTTTCCTGAGTTCCCCCGATGAGAAATTTTTAGGAAGAACTATGCTCGATTAAGAACTGGTGGGAAGGGGAAAAGCGGCAGCGCATGATGCTCCTGAACTTCTCCGGGCATCTAGCGAGCTGAAGGAAACGCGAGGCTCCAATGCGAGGGAAAATTTCTAAAGCTTCGGAAAAGTTCCACGTTTTTGAGCTACCTCCGAACAAAGAACACGCTCTTGAGCACAAGCTTGTCCGCGTATGCGTAGCTACTCGTTCAGAGCGGATCAATCAAAGAACCGGCGAAACAGCCACCAGGTCGTTGCTCCGACAATTAAAGCCTTTGAAGTTGTGATTCAAAACGATTCCGACGATTCAGAACGATCGCTCGACGAGTGTTGATTGTTTGATTCCGTATCGACTGCAGTCCGACAGAGCGAGTTAAACGTCGGTGCTTTGTCATGTGTAGCCTAACAATCGGCGTAGAGAGCGTTCCAAGTCACAATCAGTCACAGTGAGTCGATATGGGGGCGGGGTAGGCACTCCACACCGTTTATCGCTTGTGATTTCCGCGTTGGTATCCGCAATGATAATAAATGATACCAGGGGAATGATTGACGGTTTCGCTATCGAATGCAGACACGCGACTCAAGGTCAGCGGTAAGATCGGAACACAGACAAGGAACGACACCGACGGCGTAATGATTCGTTCCAAGGTCGGCAGATTGTCAGCTTACTTAGCCGAGCGACTTGTTGAGCCAAGGTACGTACGAACGGTCGATCTCACGGGTGGCCTGTTTCTGAGCAAGAGAAACTGCGTCGCTGTGATATTCCTAAAGAAGAAGCTCGCGATTCGGCGGAATAATATTTGGCGAGAACGTAAACATTTTTGACATTCGTTCGAGCCGAGATCTTTAAAGGTTGAATCGATCGGCCCTCCAAAAAGCTCAATTTTTGACCGATCAAGAAAATCGCCGGAGCGTTGAGAGCTCTGGCCATTCATTATTGCGCGAAAGATATTTGAAAGTCTTTCAGGGAGCAGGAAGTGAGTGCGTCCTGGATCGGGGGCGGGAGATTACATCGAGGTTATTCAGTGAAACAAAGTGACCTGATAGATCTACGACTCTCCGAAAATATATTCGAAAATAATCCCGATATAATCATCATGAATCCATAAGCAGACACGTTATCGTATTCATCGCCACATGGATTTCTCCCGTGAAAAAGAGGCCAGTTTGAAAGTGAGACTCCATTCTGACGAGGATATTTTGCGGTGGGCTTCCGGAACTCTACTCGGATGCATTTGCGAATAGAGCCCAAATAAAGTTCCGGAATCCTGACACGGCTCGGACTGAGCTGGACCTCCGATCGAAGTCCACTAGATTTCTATCGCTTCACTTTGACTCCCTCTCCACCGCTGCTCTCTGACCTCACGAAGATTGTTCGAGCTCTCTCTCGTAAACGGTTCCGTTTCTCCGTAGCATTCCCACTACGCTGTGGACAGGTAATACCTATTCCGCTTCATTTGAATATTTTCCTTCTACATGAGTCGACTCCAGGTCCGGAATCTTCGGAAGAAGTTTCGGTTGATTATCCGTCACGATTTCCGGAATGGGTACGCTCCTGCACGCCGCTCCCCCTCTGTCGAGCGGGACTCCATCGAGAAATGGACATCTTTTTAATGAGGGTAAGATGCATGCTCTGACAAAGAAGCTTTCCGATTTTCTTCACGGGGCAGGTTTCATTTGAGAAACTCCGCCCCTGACTGCGAATATGTGGGTTCTTCCCACTGAGCGATAGAGCCTCCAGAGAGCGGGAAACCTTTTTCAGCCTTTCGGACTGGACGGACAGGGCAAGAGACCGACCGTCCGGCTGGTCAGAGCCGCCGTACGGATAGACTAGGACGGGGCATCCAATTTACATAAATGAGTTCTTTGTTCCGGTAGTTCGGTCACCGCTGGAGTTGTTCCACCCTTCAAGCACAAACCAGCCGTCGAAGGCGCTGACCTGCTCGTCGGCAGATCGGACGATCTCCCTGGGGGAATACGCTTGAACTTCTTCCCAGGGCATGAACATCAAATGAATGACTGGACTAGGAATAGAACCGATTACGTTTAAAGATGTCGAGTGGCTGCAGAAGAACAGCCGTTGTCCGACTTGACAAACGTGGGCCCGTTCGGTTTGCAGAATTTCGCCATGAGAACGACGAGGACCTCTGCGAGAGTGCAAGAGACGACCATAAAAACGACATTAATCACAATATCAAGAACAACAGCGATAAGAGCGAAGATGAGCGCAGTCGACGGCGGGGAAAAGCAATAACATGGAACGAATATAACGACAAGAAAGGAGGGACTCTGACCGTGGCCCGTCGCAATCGTCCGCCGATCGACGCTGATTTCCGAAAGATCGGAACTCGACGCACTGCGTGATTGCGGCTGATAGACGAACTCGAGTGTGAAACCTTGAGAGGCGATTTCCTGCCTCGCGAGTGGAGCGGTGTCGCAGGTGAGGTTTCGCATCGGGGAAAATGTCTGAATCGCTGCAACGATCAGCGATTTATCCAGAGATCCTTTTCCAATCTGCGCCGCTGCGGTCTTTCGCTGTTGGGACATTTGCGGGTTTCCGCCGCGGCTCTCTTCTGATAAGGGTCGAGAGAACTCCGGCTTCCTCAATTCGACATGCGACCCCATTGTGATGTCAGACTCTGCTCTTGAATATAAGCGTCGCATCCAACCGGCTATTTTGGCTTATCAGACTTGGTGTCGCGTTCGCCCAGAGAGGAGACTCGTGCTCAACTGTTTCACGAGATCTTATCGCTCGCACGGGACTCCGCATCGAATCAGGGGGTAGGGGGGAGGCGCCGTCGTCTGACAGGAATTGGGGAGATTCGGGCTGATATTCTCGACGGGTCAGGTGGGGCATGAAATGGGGCGAACCCCCGACGTTTCGAAGAAGCTGCTCTCACTTAGAGCTTCGGGGCTTCAGGGAAGAGGGAGGGAAGAACTCAGGTTGTTTTCCTAACTGATGGGCTCCTAGCATCAAATCATTCATCATCTATATTTTCGATTCAGGTGGGAACTCACTTGATGCCGCAACTCCCGGCGCAATCTTCGAGAGATCCTCCACCAGGTCCTGTGTTTCTTATCCAAAGGTTCAGATGCAATGCGTCTGCCACGTATCAATTTATGAATCGATTAAGAAATCGATCGACCGAGGATTACGAGCAGATCACTTCGAACAATCAATCACACTTGCGAACACAGCGCTCGATTCACGAGCGAGTTGTAGGCACGAGAACGGAGGCACGCACAATCCACTTCGAGAGGTAATTACTTCAAGTAAGACTCCACAGCGAGCGAACTTATATCACGCATCAACGTGCATTATTTCACGCAGCGTCCCGAACAGACAGCGCGGCTGAATGTGAACACGATTCCACGCGCGGCGACGGTGGCTTCCCTCCACCGAAATACCCTTCTCTGAGGCGTACTCTCCACATGACCCTTCCTTGTCGATCCGCTTCCCCAAGAGTTTGCCTGAAGCACGCCACGGCCAACAGTACACGATTCCCTCCGCCGTCCTGTTGAGCCGTCCTGCCGCTCGTTCGAGCGATGATCGATCAATACAGCTGCATACTATATTTTCTGATAATAAAATAAAACCAACTCCATACCGGCTCCCTGTTCGCTCACTTATCGGATGACTCGCTCAACTTGACTTCCCTAACATTTCGCGAGGCCAGTGCGCTCGGAAAATCATCGAAGCCCAAGCGGAGGTCGATCCCCGGCCTTACTGTCATGTTCCCGTTGAAACAAGCGCCGACTCTTTTGCCGCCCTGACGGGGAAATATTTAAAGAGCATCCGTTCTACGCATCGAGCAACGGTTTCTGGATCTTTATTAATTTTCTCCGATCACAAATTCCGAGGGCTTCCTGTGACAATTCAATGCGATGTGTGCATCCCAGTCAGGGCAGAACAGAGCCTGGATTCTCTTCGTAAGCAAGCGCTTCGTAAAAATCGCATCCGTTTCCTCCATTCCCTCCGCAGGTTGATGGAATGCGGGAAAGAATTCTGTCAGAGATTGATCTCTGATGGGGTCTTTCTTGGAAATTGAGAGACTCCGATTCTGTAGCGAGTCGACTCCGGTTTCGCCTCCGAAAGCCGTGAGTTTCCAGGGCATGTATGGATCTCCCCATCGGAGACGTCTCCCGGGGATACCCCAGCCAGCGCCAGAAATGTCGTCACAGAGAAGGCTATGGAACCGATTTTGAAAACGGGCTTTGCGTCGCAACGACTCTCATGTCATGACCGCAGCCTCATACCTATCGAGGATGATGGATTGAAGCGGGGTCTCCCTCATTCACTGCGTAACGTGGTATTAAAGCCCCGAGGAGAGAAATGATGAACATCGAAGCGCTACCTCTACTCTGCACCATCGGCCGGCGACAGCGAATCGATGACCGTGAACAGACTAAATGGGTGTGTCGCTCTCTCAACAAGTGCACTGCACTCATTTCCATAATTTCAATTAAAAGCAGATTGAATTATTAGACGAGGATTTTATGCGCTGGAGGGACTCCAGTGATTCCTCACAATAAGGAGCGACGAGAAGCTCACCGAACTCCAAAAACAGTGCTCGATAAAAACCGGAACAATTCCTCGAGCTTTCAGATCATCGATCCGGTTCCACTGATTCCTTGTTCGTTCGGCGAGTCGGTTCATTCATCGTCGATCCATTGAACCCCGGAATCTGGGCATGTGTTCCGTCGAGAATATCGCGGGAGAGCCTTTCTCGCGGGCAGCATATTGTTTACGAGGCGGGCGCCGGCTTGTTGACGACGTAGATTAGACTCACAGATTGGGTGGCTGTGTTCGTCATCGTAGACCCATCTCCCTGAACAGCATAAGATCGAGACAATAGTCGAATAATGATCACTTGAAATCGGCACGATGATGTCTCATATTTCCTTTTTTCCCGGGATTGCTTAACCGCAAACTCGGTCAAGCTGAACAATGAGAGGCGCTTCCCGGCTATCGAGTTCTTCGTAATGAAAGAGACATCAGAGGCTGATTCTCGGAAGATTGACCCTCGGCTAGCTCGTGATTTCTTCGAGGAGAATATTGAAATCCGCCGAAGATCGGAAACTTCCGAGAAAGCTCGAGCTCGCGGTGGATATCCGCGGGGAAACTTCAGGGTAGCCTCCGGCAGAGAGAATTCGATCACGAGCCGTCGTTTTCCTCTTGAGAAGTCGTTCGATTGGTGCTCTACTAGCCATGAGCACGTTCCGGCCCGGGGCGGTCACTTTTGGAACAGCAGCAGGAGAATATGTTCGTACTGCTAGAGCGGGTATATCACTTCGTATGGCCAATCGTTGCTTCGCTTGTTCCCTGTATGATTGATAAAGCTCCCGGCTCAATGAGTTCCGGGCTGGGATGATTGGGCTCCTTGAATGAAGTGAAATCGAGGCGATCTCCCGCTCCAATCAGAGCCGCAATCGCCGTATCAAATCGAGTCCGGCGGAGTCATGAATGCATGAATCGCTTCGGGGTTGACGAATCGAAAATTCCCCGGCAGAAATCTCTGATGATATTGAAGTTTAGGATCTCTTTGCATCGACAATGTTTTGCGTTAAATTAAATCGATCACTGGGATGGGAGCTACGATGCTCCCTCCGTGACATGGTTGTGACAATTCGTCATCGCGGTGAAGAGTTGGTGAATCGTAAATCATTGGCTCGCCAGGATTTGTGACCAGTGAGCTACCGACGCCATGCGCTACGGACTCGTCGATCACGGAAGACGTACGAGATCTTTGACACACTGCATCGCTTCCACTGAACTGACTTGATCGTTCGGCCGTGCGGTCCATGACATATTACCTGTGAGATTCTTATCGGCTGTCCCTCTCTCCGTCCGGCTTTCTGACGTCTCAGTCAATCGTTCAGCGGAGAAATCGAAACCTTTGGAGGGGGCCCGTCGTTCTCGGATACCCTCTGATTTGGAGCATGTTCGATTCGAAGACATTAGGTCCACCGTCCCGGGACGAAACCCGGAAAGTGCCTTGGCCGCATCGATTCGGAAAGCTCCTGAGGATAAGGCCGATGCTGAATTATTTCTTAACAAATTGTCGCGTTTATTTTCGGACTCTGCCCTCAGAATCAACATCGCGTGGCATCCCCAATCCTCTCGGAGCGGATGAGCATCTGCTTTTCGACGCGCCGTCCACGGCTGCTCGGAGCGAGCTATTTTGAGTATTTTGATTCGTGACTCCGATTGACACCATCGCTGCCGGATAATCAGGGCGAAAATCCATCGGCGCTCATCGCGGCACGCCGCCGGAGGGACGACACGAGAATTAATATGGCAGGTACGAGGTTGCTTTGGAGACCGCGGGCAGAGGTGGAAGCCGCCCGAGGTAGTGGGCGTCGCGTCGACTTCCTCTGAGGAAACGCTTCGATTTCTGAAGAGTGGAGCGGAATTCCAAGTCTTTGGGAGGCTCACTCTCTCAAATTGGACCAAATCCGTACTCGATCGACTGTTCTTGTCAATCACTCTATCGGATTGACTCGGTGACCTTGTGGCCGGAAATCGAACGCGAGTTCGCGAGGTCGATCACGGTCCGCGGAACTTTCCAGACAAGATCCGCAATCTCGGCTCGTCCACCGCTCTCGAGCCGGAACAGTCTTTACCGAGGCTAATGAACGAGAAGCGCGGCAAGTGTTACACGGCTACCGCCACGTGACGGCTGTTGAGTTGTCCACATAACGAAAGGGAGGGGTGAGTGGCGAACATCTAGGTGGAGTTTTGCCCCTGGGATTTTCGTGATATGGATCCTTCGGCCGTGCAGTATACGCAGCCAGTGACGGCGCTGGCAGCACTTCACGGAAGTAGTCGTTCGTCGCAAAGCCCTTCAGCCGATGGAATTGAATTGGCTGCCTCCATGAGCGACTATAACAATGAGCTCAGTCGGTACGTCGGCCGACGTGCGCATCGAGCTGCCCAAACGTACCGGGTCCTGGTCAGAACCGTGGATGGAGAGTGAATAACCTCAAACGTCGCGAGCAACACTCGCTCTCGATTGACTCAGTGGGCCGCATGAACTCCTCCGACATGCTCCTGATTTTGTTGCTGATGCTGGTCGTTCCCAGCTCTTCTGCAGCTAACAACACGCGCCTGAAAACCCGACCCGAACATCGGCTTCGAGCTGCTGAAAATTCCGAAGTGAGTTTCGGATGCTTCGCCGAGGATCCGACAGTTGTGACCAGAGTCGAGTGGAAGTTCCTGAACGACTCGAACCTCGATCTATGGTTGTACTCCGCCGGGGGACTGGTGCTCATCCCTTCGGTTTCGAGGAATTTCAGCGGTGTATACGAATGCGAGGGTTTCTTCGGTGCCCAGAAAGTTCAATCAGCTTTCCTCGAGCTACGGGTCTTGCGACCTATTCGACTTCAGAAGTTTGTGACTGTCGTCAGGAAACTCACGGTGCTAACGTGCCGCGCTCGCTCCGACTCACCTGTCGTCGACGTTCGATGGTCCCGGAACGGTGTTGACGTTGAGGGCTCTGACGTGTACCGAGCGAAAAGCGAGACCGACAACAGGTTCTCCCTTGAGGTAAACAGCGGGGAAGAGTTGACCAAAGGAGGCTTCTCGTGTGAGCTGACGAACGATTTCGGCCAAAACTCGTCGGCTCAATTCTCGCTCCCACCGGATCCCTCGACGCCGCGTATCGAGGTTTTCCGCGAAACTATCAGAGTGAGGATCGGGAAAGAATGGTGCCTCGACCGAATCGAAGTTTCGCTATCCACAAACGAAACCTTCACGATTCACTGTCGCAGCTCAGACCCCATCAGCGCCTTCAGGCGGCTCATCAGCGGCTTCGTCGATGTCATCATCTCCCCGAAGAGCCAACTCGAAGCCAACTCGGTGTATTACGGTCGCGCGGTCGTCGTGGATTCGAACGGGAAAGAAGCATCGCAGAGCAGTTTCGTTTTTGAAACAAACGAACTCCCGCCAGACAATCGTTGCGAAGAGTTGAAAGCCGTCGCTTATCTCGTGTGGATGCTCGCGATCGGTATTCAGATTCTGTGAGAATCGCGGTGCTGGCGTCCCCGAACGAGTGAATCGAAAACGTCGCACGGAGC